CATTATTTTAAAATTACATAAATAACATAAAAATATAAATTTAATTTTAATATTTTTATTTTCATACGTGTTAATCTATATTTTTTGGTACATCATTGCCCTCTGGCTGATCGCGTCTCTGTGGCATAGAATACCTAAGTATACTGTGTCTGTGGCGCATTATGATGAGTGAGCCTAACATGAGTGAGACGATTTGATGAATGCATAAAGTTAAAAAGAGAAAACAACACGCCAAAATATCCTTCAAACGTCAAAAGAACTCATTAATTGGCGCGCCGCTCACAAACTAGGTTGCCAAACCAGTGTTGCCAGTCTAGTACAATTCACAATTGTACTAGATGTAGTACATTTTGCTTGAGGCAGTGTTCACGTGTAAAATATATATATAAATATATTGTGTTCCTTGTTTGGGTTCGTTATCTATAAAAACCCTCTTTTTTCCTCTTCAATAAATTAGATGTCACTGCAAATAGAATTCGAAAAATCTGGTACATAACAAAAACATATTCTGGCAACATTGTACCAAATCAAACAAACTGTCATTCCGTCTACCTGTGGATCGTTTATATCGTGCGAATTTAGAGATGAGTAGTAATCCGTAAATGTACCTACGTAACACTTACAGATTTGCTAATATCCATCTCTAAATTCCAGTGTGACACCGGCACCACTTGGAACTTTAGAGGCGTTGTAACCGAACTTTGATTTTAGTTCAAGGACGACTTACCCAACTCCGACTCAGCTGAGTTCTGTTTATAAATATGAACCTGAATATATTTGTATCCTTGTTTACCGATATATAAAAGAAGAAAGTGAGAATACACTCAGTGAGACACGAGATCCCTTTACAAATTATACTTTTTATGGATTTTTGTGTTTCGTGAACCGAATTTTCGTTGTTTTGAGGTTGGCTGTACTGGTCTTAGGTTCTGTGTGAATTTACTAGTGCTTATGTACGATGGAATCGTATTTGGTAAAATTTATAAAAACAAATAGACATAATTTCGAAAATCGAGTGCTTACAAAATAGAATGGCCCACCTCAATCGGAGATAAACATTGTTCAAGAATGTGCCATAAGAAATAGAAAGTTTAAACATCCTTTTAAGATTGAACAATATAAAAAAACTTCGTGGTTATGCGGGTGTGATAAACAACATGCTTTGTTTTGTTTTCCTTGTTTAGTTTTTGCAAACAATGAAAATACTAAATCAGAAAGGACAAAAACGGGTGTTAGGGAATTATCTCATATTAGGTAAGCATGATTTTGCATTATTTCTATAATTTAAACTTGATGTTTCTTTCTTACACTGTATTAATCGAGGAATTAATATTTTAAATTATAACGAGCCACCACTACCTTTAATTAAAAAAATCTAATTAAATATGGGGGATTTAAGGGGGGGTTGAAATTAAAATTAAAAACAAAAAATCAAAAATGAAAAGCGATATCAACATTTTTAGTAAAAATCAAGCCCTATAAGGAGATGAGGTATTGATTGTGAAAACAATCTGGTAGAAAATGGGTAGTTAAGGGAGTCTGTTAAACTGCGAAAAGTATCATTTAGAATGCCTGGCATTATATATCTTTATTCTAGTTTGTATTTGTGTAATAGTATGTATTGTGATGGGACTGATCTCATAAAATAAACATTTAAAACATTTTAGTTTTTATTTTATTTAAAAGTTATTATTTTAAAAGGTATTTAAAAAATATATTTTTTATTTGACTTGTGTGACAAAATGTGAAAATGATTAAATATACAATAAAAACTGAAAAATGGTAGGTAAAGTTTCATATAATATTTTTTACACAAAAATCAATGTCAAGCTTTCTACATAACCTTATATATATATATTTAAAAATAATCTCAAATTATGAAGAAAAGTCAGTTAACTAATAATGTTTATAGGTGGTTTTCAATGAATTAAAAACAAAACAAATATCACACTAACTAAAATTTTTATTTATTAATAGTTATAGTGCTTGAAAATAGTATGATGTTGATAATAACTACATTTAATACAAACTCAAATAATAATAAAAACAGCGATATTGGCTCTTTTACAAAGTTTTGGGCCGAACTTACAAAAATGATCAAATTATTGGAAAAAGTGAACACCCAATTCAAATTACCACGAGCCGCCACTGTTAGGGATCATATAGAGAGCGAAACAGCTGCCTGGCAAAGGCGGCCCCGATAATTTTCGGTGGGGGCCATTGCCTTTAGCCAGTCTCTTTTTTGCATATTTTTTTGAATAAAAGGCTCATAAATGGTAAGAATTTGCATCTCGGTAGGAGCCATAGCTTCCTCCCCTGGAGCCGCCCTTGCTGCCAGGTAACAGTAGGGCGCACGGGTCGGACAGGTATTTTCTGATGCGCTGAGTCATGTATATGAGGTGCGGTTACTCAAACCGCTGTATCTTCGTTAGTTTTACTCCGATACATCTCAAATTTTCACACAATATTCTTTAAAGGTTCTCCATTCACAAAATCAAATATAAAAAAAATGCAAAACAAAAAGTTTAAAAACTTTACTCTCCCCTTAAACTGTCTTGTTAAACTAAACTATTTTGCTAAATTATAAATATAACTTAAAACTAGGATGATGAACTTTATACAGAGGAATATTGGATGCAATCATCATCTGACATAAATCAATTTTAAATTTATCCTCCCTATTTTTTTGAACTGGTTAAACTTTCCCGCAGAGATGTTTGAACTAACTTAGAAGAATTGAATTTTTCCGAATTCCGATTATGAAGTGGTGTTCCACAATGCTGGTCAATAAAGTACTTTTTAGTACTTGACATCTGAGAATTTTAAAAAATAACAATAATAAAATATAATACCACTTAACTTAGAAGTAATCTTTCTATACAAACTTACAAAACTAAACTGTGATAGTTCTGATACAGTAGTAACCGTCTGTACAACTGATAATGATAATATTGATATTTGTTTATTATAAAATGGCAAAAGGTTAAGGATTTCCCAAAAGTTAAGACTCAATCCACGAAACTGGTAAATTTTCTTAGAAAACCATATAACGTTTTTTGCTGATTATATAAAAACGTTTGGTTAAAGTTTGGATTACTATCTGGATACAATCGCAGAACTGTTTGAAAACTGGTTCATTTTTCTACCGTTATCGTGCGAAATGTACTTTTAACACGGTTACTAAAACTATATTTTTGCTGCACGCTACCAACGACTACAGATAACCTGAATTTTGTGATTTTTATGTATTTAATCAGATTTATTTTGTGATATTGGAACAGGTTTGTACTTTTTGGAAATAAATCCCAGATAGGTATACAGGCTGGCGAAATGTTTGATATATTACAATTTCTAGTTATCTAACTGGTGTGAAGTTAGCAGCCAGTTTACCGAACATCCAGTGGCGTCGAAATTGTATTTTTCTATGAAGAAAACGGGTATTGAAAATTGTGTAGGAACTTGAATTGTATCTTAGGAATATCGACAAAATAGTTTGGAAAGAGGATGAAGGGGTGAACTGCAATTAAAATTAATTAACCGTTAAATATTAAATTTTCTATGAAGGAAACGGAACAAATTGTTAATAAACTGAAAATATATCTTAAAAAAAAGAAAATTGCTTACAGAGGGAATAAAGGGGTGAAATTTAATAAAAATCCTATACAATTTTTTTGTGAAAGAAACGGAGAATTGAAATGATTTTAGTGCCAAACTGTTAAGAAACACAAAATTAAGAGATGGGATTGAGGAGCGAAATGTATTTATAATCCGTGTTAAAATTAATTTTCCTATGAAGGAAACGGATTTTTAAAATAAAATTAGTGTCAAATTGTTAATAAATCTTCAGAAGATCGTAAATAACGCTTAGAGAAGGTATATGGGGTGAAATATAAATTTTCTCAAAAAATGTTATTCTTGATAAAAATTGGTCCAATAAACACATAAATATAGGTCAAAAAATACATGGAAAAGAACCAAAAGTTGTTCAAGTTGTGTTATAACTTTTATATTTAAAAAAATATGCATTGGGCTTGAGTAAAGTAAAAAATGTTTAGTATTGCTTTGAAAAATATTCTAACCAACAATTTTTGATTTGTTTTCCTGGTGATTTTCTGTGATTTACGTTTGTATAGCTCTATAGCCAACTGCAAGGTCAACTGTATATAGCTAGTTTGGATCTTCTTCAGTACTTATACTACTTATTATTTATTAAATCATTCATTAAATATTATTTTTCTTTTAATATATCTTTTTATACGTTTAGAACTATATTATTAATATTTTATTATATTTATACAATAATTATTTGGGTATCGGCAATCTAGAGAAACAAATGACAACAAGTGGTTTATGGGGGTATTGTTTTTTGAAATGTTAAGTAGTTAAGATATTTTTTTAATATTTATTTCATATAATAAAAAAAATATTTTTATTTTTTCGTATAATGGGTATGTATTAAATATTTGGTTTTGTCATTAATTGCCGGGATTGAAGCCGCAGTTCTGTTTTATGTGAGTTTTTTTATAGTTCATACACGCTAGCATACTTTTTGCGTTTTAGGGCATCCATTAGACCAGGATCGAAAGTAATTTTTTTTTTATTAGATTTGTACCATGCACTGAATTGAATTTAAAATTAACGAAATGACGTCTATTTTTTTCATGAATCATTGAATCGTAGACAAATTAATCTTCGCTCGCTGTATAAGTACTAAAGAAGGTCCAAACTAGGTACCGAAAGCTAAATAAACGTACACCACAGTGATTTTATTAAATCCAACACCTACATACATCCTAAGAAAACCACTAGTAAAATACCAAATAATAGGTGTAAAAAACCACAATAATATAAAATTGTTTTTATTTCAAAAGAATAAAGGATTGAAAGAAAAAATAACTCCTTTATAAATTTGGTCAGAACTTTATTATTAGCTTTAAAAAATGAGAAAAAACACGTTAATTATCGTGGAAAAATCAAGAATTATTTTTGTTTTGTTTCAGGAAAAGTGGCTGACCACACCAGCCTGCTAGAGTCGCGGGGTCACCGTCTAGTGACCACCTCGATCGCAGTGCCCCATGCGGCTCAGCCGGTTATCCCGTCCACAGCCGCCTCCAACAACACCAACCGCCGCCCGTCTCGTTCGAGGGGCGAGCAAATCTTCGCCATGCCGGGTATCAAATCGTTCCTCAGCAGGCGGCGGAACAGCGGCCTCGAAGGGCCGCAATCGCCGTTGGTGGCCCGCAAGGAGAACGGAGCTAGCGCCGCACCTGTCGTCCGGCCCGCCTCCAGTCTGGCCAGTTTGAGGAAGTGCGAAACTGTATTGGCTCTTACGGGTTATTTGAGGTGAGTACACCGTTTATTGATTTATTGCTGCAGACTACTAAAAAGTTTATCATTTTCAATATCATGGAGTTACTTTATTATGCGAATGTCAAGTCGTCATACCCCAAGTACGGACTTATTGATTCATTTGAATAAAGCTGCTTAGTTATTTATTTTTACACTGATCACTGATCAGAAGGATCTAATTAATTATAGAAAATAAATACGTAAAAACTGAAATCGAGTTACTAATGTTTTTGATAAATATAAATTTAAAGTTCAGTGAATTGGGACATAATTTCCCACCTGAATAACTCCTTGATCCAGCTTTTTACTGTACGTGCTCCTTTTGTAAGAAAAAGAGTTGTACAGGGTGTTAAAAAAAAAGTGTCACAAAATAAAACGGGGGGTAGTATGGGCCAAAATATGCAGAAAAGTCTTAATAAACATATGTCCGCAAATGAATGGTTTCAGAGATACGGAGTGTTTTGTACCATTTTTTGATTATCTTTTTTCATTCTCAAAAACTTGCTTTTCTTATCGGAGTCTACCGATGTTTTTTCATAGATACTATTTGCAGTTAATATTTTGTTGTGGGTGAATAATTTTATAAATTTTCGTTATGCCTGTTTACACTAATATTGAATTAGCTGACATGCATTTTATGTACGGTCGTGCAAATGGCAATGCGAGGGAAGCGCTACGTCAGTATTTGAACATCTCATTTAACTCTATGTTGTTATTGATTGTTTATAAATATCATTGTTTTTTTATAATAATAAAAAATTGTTATAAACACAAAATGGTCCGTATCTCCGAAACCGTTAATTTGCGGTCATATATTTATTAAGACTTTATCCCGAAATATTTTGAAATGTTGGCAAGCCTATAGCTAGCCGTAGTGTTGCTGTTGTTGTCTGCCAAAAGTTCCAAATAATTTTTAATTTTTACAGACAAAAATCGTTAGAAGTAATAAAGGGACCGAGCCTAAACCGAAATTAAAGGCTTATGGTAAGATTTTCGAGTATTATTCTGAAAATATCATTCACTATTATTAAATTAATTGCAACTCTGTCCACCCTACATTTAAAAGCAGACGACATGATTTCTTACAAGCATTAAACACAACAAAAAGCAAGAAAAGTCAAAGGGCTTTACTAAAAGAACCTACATTATTGAAAAAAAGGGTTTTCTACAGAAACTTTTTAGTAAAAAGTAGTTACAAATAATTTTATAGAAGAAAAAAAGGACCCGTTGGACTTCAGAAGAAACAGAAAATGTATATTTATATCAGAAATAAAAAATATATTTTGTCAGTTTCTAGGATGTATGAACAGTATAAAAAAAAACAATAAAGCAACAACAACCCAGTTTTATTACAATAATCTATAAATATAGGTATCAAATTAGAGAAAAGCAGTTTTATATACATATAATACACAGAGGAGATATTACATATACTTGGAGTACTTAAATAAATCATGTAGGACCATATCTTTAGCAGCGCACTTTTGTAAAGTTGAAATCCCCAGCAAGGGATACTTTAGAGCAGGGGTGCACAACATACGGCCCGCCAGTGTCGTTTTGGCGGCCCGTCGGCCGTTGACCAGTTTGACCCGCCTACGTCAAATTATACGTTTTTCAGTAACAAACTTGCATTTAGGCTAACGACTTTATTTTTTAGAAAAGTCGATCAGCACGATGGGTTATCAGCTGACGACCCTTTTTTAGTCTATAAATGAAAGGTGTTGACTTTTTTTTTAGAAATTTGAACCAATTATTGTAGGCTCAGGCCTCTCTTGGCGTTCCTCGTACAGTTACGGTTTTTCAAATCTGACCCTTTGAAAATCTGAGTTGTGCAGGCCTGCTTTAGAGTATTTTAAAGGTAAAGATAGCACCTTCTAAAAGGCTCTTGTTTTCTTCTTTAAAATGATTTGTAATTTTTACTAAAAACTTCCTGTAGCAAATCCTTTTTTCAAAAATGTATGTTCTTTTAGTAAAGCCCTTTGACTTTTTTGCTCTCGGTTGTTTTTAACGTTTGTATGAAACCATCTCGTCTACTTTTAAATGTAGGGTGGACAAAGCTGCAATTAATTTAAAAATGGTGTATAATATTTGCATAATAATTACTCTTAAACAGTGGCGGTTTTCCCGTAAGGGCACTTGGGCACTTGTCCTAATATAATAAACAAAACAAAAATAACTTACATATTTTATATTTTCCTCAATGCCTATTATTATTTTATCTAATATTCAGCGCAAACCGCGTTGGCACGACACTGGACGACCGGGCGTTGAGCGACGTTCCGAGAATTCCGAAATTAAGTGGAAGATGTTCACAGGGCACAGTAAATGTGTGCCTCTGTTGTTTTCTCTCTCATTATGATGCGAAAAACAAGGACAACGACAATATCGCTTAGCAAGAGATGAACACATGCGATGGGTTATACGTCATAAGTGGGGCACTGTCCTTATCGTGACGTGCTGTACCCATGGTACCTAGACCAGATACGAATGTTCGCAGCGGCATCTTTACCGGCTCCCTCACGAAGGCGATGCCGGTTTTGGCTTAAGGTGCGCGTTTGTTGGACCATGATAATAATTTATTTATTGTGATTACGAGAAAACGTTAGTTGAACCATTGGAATAGTTAAGAAATAAAACTACAAAGAAAAATAACTTTTTTTTATAAAGCAGTCAAAAATATGATGAAAAAAATCAATAATAGTCTTATAAATAATTTAATGGTGTACATTTTCGAAAATTGTTGGCAAGGATGACCAAATTCTATTTTGCTCATCTCAAAAAGAAATGCGTTGGAAATTCCAGGCTTAGTTGACAAACTATCAAATAGAAATAGAAATATTTTTTCTAATTTGAAAATATAAAAGAGAAATGTTTCGCTAGGAGATTTTAAATTGTTAAAACACCTTTTCTTCTGAGTCATATGCTTTAAAATGCGTTAACAAGTTAGAATTGTTAAGTAAATTGCATTCTTCTGAGAAATTTACGCAAATTTCGCAAGAGTGGATATGTAATGATTTTTTGATTAAATAGCCACATACATAGTTAAATGCATTTTGAGTGGTCACATTTAGCTCCCTGTAGTCACATTCAGAAATAGTTATTGCCCAACTGATTGTTTTGAAATATATTTAATTTTCATTAAGCGGAGAACTTGTTTTTAAGAAAAACGAATCCCGGGATTCCTTTCCAGTGTGTGCTCCAGCGCCGCTAGTGCGCACGAGCCGCCACTGCTCTTAAATCTTGCCATTCGTCTTTTATTTTCAGTTCAGACTTAGTCTCTTTATTTATTCTAACGATTTTTGTGTGTAAACAGCAAAAATACTACGGCTCGCTCCGGGCTTGCCAAAATTTAAAAATATTTCGGGATATAAACAAATTGTGATTCGAATTTAGCAAGGAGGCCGTACCCTAATCCAAAATGTTTAAAATAAACCATTCATACAATAATATTTCTCTTTATAATTCAAATAAAAAGTAATTCATTTGAAATTTGATGGAAATCATTACACGATTTTTCCATGTCGTTTTGTGGCTTGTCTTTCAAAAAATCAAATTATCGATTTTATAAAAACTCCAACGCAGGTGTATCGTCCAAAAATAAAAATATGAACACCACTAAATATTAATAAAATATTAGATTTTTTAAAAAACTACTGTACGAACCGATGGAAAATATTTTCTGTCAACTCGATTTTGCATTCCGTGACGTCACAGCCTTCCTTAGCAACGTATGAAGAGGCCACAGTGGTCTCTACGAACCGTGGTACCGAGTATTGTTTCGACCACCGCGAAGTACACAGATGCTTGTGTTAAAAATTGTAATTCGGTACTGACCATAGATAAATTAATAAAGATAGTCGGATCCCGTGTTAATTTTTGGAAACAGTGCTGCGAATTAGTATGGAACGTATTTTTTTTAACTACACTGATTGACTTGCCAGTTAGAGGCTGAATAAGAAAGAGAAGAATAAAAAAAGAAGAGCCAACCGAGGCTCATTCAAATATAATGTATTATTTATTTACATTTTTTTGGCATTCATTTACTCTAAAAAAACTAATATTTACATCAAAATAATGTATTTAACATAAATATTGTTTTTTTTTTTTTTGTAATAAAACCCCAAAAAATATTTACATTAAAATGAAATATTTGAAACATATTTTTTAATTATTTATTATACATAAGCTCAATAATAAATAACAATTGTAAGTAAACTGAATAGTATGTTTCCCCCATTCTTGGAAAAATGGACCATATTTTGTTGGGTGTCTGGTGTTTCCAATAAAAACGAAACAAAAAGTGTACATATGTCTTATTGAACAATTTCTCTTATCAAATATTAATAAAATAAACTTTTTCTCTTTAGGACTTAAATTTCTGACTCTACTTTTATTTATTTATTTATTGTTTTTCTTCGTTTCCAGGGTCGTTCAAATTGTTCATCACTAATTATTAAGTTTACGTTTGCAACTAATTTCTTGTTTTTCTTATGCTATATTTGTGCTTCAGCCTCAACTTTTTCTAAAATCTAATTCTCAGGTTGTATATTTGAACTGGATGCACAATTATCTAATGAAATTGGTATAGAATGTCCAACTAGCAATTTACGTTTTGAGGAAACCTTACTAAAAGACTGTGGCAAATTTTAATATCGGAAGGAAAATGAAGAAAGGTTTAATATTTGAATATCCAACTTTCTGAATTTTAGAATAATACTTATTTAAACAATTAGGAACTAAACAAGAATACTCTCGAGAAAACTTAACTATACCCGGGCCAGACATTTTTTGTTTCAAATATTAAAACAGAATTGAAAATTCTAGAAATATGAAATTATATAAGGTTAAGAAAATAATTATAAACAAAGTCTTTAAATAAATCTACACCCCTTTAATATTAAATTAAATTGCTAATACTTACTAATTACATCTAATCAAACTGTTTATCTTCTTAAAAATAACTAGCCGATCTTTAGAACTTTCATCATAATTCA